CAAAAGACTCGAAGTATGCAGTGAATTGTTGGATTTTGGAGAGATACTGTTGCATGGTCTCATCCTTGGCCTCATATTCACCAAGGACTTGGCATACTACAAGTTGGGAGTCACTGCGGACGTGAATCCGCTGGACACCGAGTCTACGGGTTAGCTGGAGTCCCGCGATCAAGGCCTCATATTCAGTTTCATTGTTGGTGGCCGGAAAGTCGAAACGGAGGGCATATGAGCACACTTCCCCTTGGGGGCCCTCAAGGAGCAGTCCTACTCCCCTGCCATCCCCATTAGAGAACCCGTCCACATAAAACGTCCACGAGTGTGGGGCGGACACTTCGGCAACGGCGGAGGTGGACTCCCGACCTTCCGTGAAGGTGAGTTCAGCAAGAAAGTCGGCTAAGGCTTGAGCTTTTATGGCGGTTCGCGGCTCATACGACAGATCATACTCCCCTAGTTTGATGGCCCACTTGGTAAGGCGCCCGGAAGCCTCGGGTCGCACCAGTGTCTGTCGAATAGGCTAGTCTGTCCTAACGGAAATGGGATGAGTTAGAAAATAGAGTTTTAGTCGCCGAGCCGCATGAACCAACCTTAGCCAGTGTTTTGAAAATCGAACCGGACCGGTCGGTTCGACCGGTTGAACCGCGAACCGGCCATGGCACCGGTCCGGTTCAATGCTAGGTTTGACTTTGCCAAGAAATCGATCAAAAACCGGTCGGACCGCGAAACCGCCGAACCGGATTTGAACCGGTCATTTCTGGTTTTCAAAATTTTTTTTTTTTTTTTTGCAAAATGTAGTTATCAAGATTTGAATTCAAGACCTTTGTAATAGAAGATCAATGTAGTAACCGTTGCACCATCACATCTTATTAGTTTTTTTTTATAACTTATTTACATAAAACAAACACTCATATTTCTTTTGTTTCATTTTTCTTATAAAATCTCATTCTCTCATGACTCTTTTTTTTTAATCTTTAACTTTTTCTCTTTCTCTCTCTTATCTTTTCTTTTGCCACTCATTTTTTAATTAAACCTCTTTATTTTTAATTTATTGATGTTTTCTTCCATCTTTTAATTTTATTTTTGTCCATTAAATTAAAAAAAGTTAAAAAAGAATTATTTTTCTTTAATCCAATTTATTTAATGCCACAACCACTCACTTTTATCTCATTTTTTATTTCTCATCAAATTTGTATTTCTATTTTCGATTCTCTTGATTTCCTTCGAATTCCAAACTTTCTTTTTTAAATTGCAATATCTAAATTTCAAAACGTAAATTAAAATTTAAGTTCACAATGTCTAAATTCTCATAGACGTGAATTTTATATAATTTCAAATATTGTGATATTTTTGGATTGGATTTAAGATTTTTTTGGTAGATATAATTGAAATTGAGATAAAATTTATTTGTTTTTAACTTATAATTTAAAAAAATTATTTTTAAAAATTCAAGTTATTCGAAAATAGTAAACTTTTCATCATATAAAGTATTAAATTATCCATTACATGTCTTAGTTTGTGCATATATATATTTATATAAATTATTTTTTAAAAAATTCATTGAACCGAGGTTGAACCGGTCCGACCCTTTCACTTCACCGGTTCAATTAATGGGTCCGATTTTAAAAACATTGACTCTAGCACGAGTTTCTCCACTTGGGTGTACCGAGTCTCCGGCCCGCGGAGAGCTCAGCTAACATAGTACACCGGTACTTGGGTGCCCTCATCTCGGATGAGTACAGCACTGACAGTTTCGTCGGCGGTGGAGAGGTAGAGGTACAGTTTTTCTTCGAGTCGGGGTGAGGCGAGGGTAGGCAGGTGGTGCAGATATTGCTTTACTTTGTCGAAAGCGGGCTGACACTTTTCAGTCCAGGCAAACTGGTCAGCCTTTTTCAGCACCTTAAAGAAGGGCAAAACTTTCTCAGCAGACTGAGACAGGAAGCGGTTCAGTGCGGCCAAGAATCCGTTTAGCCTCTGGACTTCTCGGAGGTTCCGAGGTGGGGACATGTCCTGAATGGCCTTGACCTTGTCGGGGTTGGTCTCAATTCCCCGGTGGAAAACTAGATACCCAAAGAATTTTCCTGAGGTGACACCGAAGACGCACTTCTTGGGATTTAACTCTCCGGGTGGACTACGTGTCCCCCGAAGCAGACGATGGGAGTTCTGACAGGAGTGAGTTGCTCTCTGGTCAGTTTCATACTTTCGAAAGTTCGGTAGTACAAGATATCCACCGAGCTTCCGGGGTCAACATAGACCTTTTTGACTATGTAGTTATTGGTGAGAACCTCGATAACGAGAGTTTCGTGATTGCTGGAGGCGGCGGGGACAGGGTCCCTGGGACCATAGGTGATCACCTCGGATAGTCGAGAGCTCGGCTCGGCCACCTCCATCCCGGTTTGGCGGTAGGTCCGCTTCCGGGAGTTCTGACTGTCTCCTCCTGTCGGACCACCCGCGATTGTGTTGATCATCCCGGCGATATTGGGGCCGTAACCCGGTGATCCGTCGCGCGAAGGCCGCTGGTCCTCTCGATGGTCCTCGGGATCTCGGCATTAATTTTTCGTGTCCCGCCTGTCTTCTCGGCGGGGGCCCCGGTTATCCCGGTGGAAAACACTTTGGTTGAGTCCTCTGTGTTTGCGAACGAATTGCTTCAGGTATCCTTGCCGGATCAGGTTCTCGATCTCTCGTTTCAGATCGTTGCAATCCTCGGTCTCGTACCCAACATCTCGGTGGTAGGCACAATAGAGGCTGAAGTTCCTCTTATCCCTCCTCCCCGGAATTTCAGGAGGGGCTCGGCCGAGGTGATTCTGCCTCATCACAGCCAAAACATGAGATCGGCTAGAGTTGAGTGGTGTCAGTTCGGCGTCCGAGGTGGACGACCTGCCTTTCACGATCCGATTGAAGACACTCCGGCGATTTCGAAATTGATTCGACGAGCCACTGGGGCCCTGTTCGACCCGGCCGGTGTCTTTTTTCCTCCGGGACTCTTGCCCAGTACGAGCAGCTTGAGTTTCTCGCTTCATGCGATTTAGGTCCTCACTTCGGATTCCTTGGTCCACTTTTCTTCTATAATGTAGCTTGAACGTCATGATAGAACTGTTATAGGAGGGTATTATATCAATATACAACTACTGGTCTCATTAGGGAGTGGAAAATATTGTAGTACATGCTATGATTTGTGTACAGATTTTTTCCCCATCATATTCATTACTCTTATGATGTATATTTGTAGGCAATCACTCTGCCAAACTGCCAGAGAGTAGTTACTCATGATTGCTGAGGTTAGTTTCCACCATGAAATGTGAATGGAATGCCAAAAAGTTAATGACTTTTGTTCTTTTTTATATATTATGGACCAATCGCAAGATTAAAATTACAGTCAGTTTTCTTTGTTTTGGTTGCTTGTTGAGTCATTCCAAATGGAATGCCAAAAAGTTCGACTTACTTTTGTTCTTTTTATATATAATGGACTGATCGCAAGAGAGAAATTACAGTCAGTTTTGTGTTGGCTGCATGCTGAGTCATTTCTAATGTCTATTTTTTTGCTTTGTTTTAGATGTTTGGTGTGTTGCAATTATTACTAGTGAAGTTGCACCTGCTGACAGCCTCAAATCTTCTGTTTTCTCATGAATTTTAGTTTAATTTGGTTGATCTTGTGGAAACTGATAGAATATATATATTGCCAACAAAAATGCAATTTTTTCCCTAGATTCAAAGAAAGTTAACTGTCAAAGGTTAATGGTTGTGTTTTCATATGGCTATAAATAATGAATTTTTTTCTAAAATCACGGTCAATGTTTTGAGTATGTTTGAACTTCGTCCTTGAGAAAAAAACCAGATTTTCAATAAAATAAGTTCTTGTTGATAAGAATCCATTTTTCAATGTAGTTTTGAATTTTGTTTGAGTTTGTACCTCAGATATTTGAGTTGAATTGCTTTTGGTATTTGACATTGTGACATATGGAGGAAATTTTGTGTTTGTTGTCTATTGATTTTGTATGAAACTGAAATTCTTTGTGTGTCTATTTTTCTATTGAAGGAATAGAATTTGGATCGTTAAAAATGACGTTCTTAATGGTTGTCATGGTCTTATGCATACCTTACATTGTGGGGCTGATCTTTTGCAACGGAGTCGAGAGACTAATTTACATTGTGGGGTATATTGGCTATTTATTCTTATGCTGTTTATGATTATCCTTGTGATTTTTTGCTTCAGAATGTTGAAGTGCAGGATCATGTCGTAGAGCAGCTAAGAAGGAGGAATCTGTTGTGCTGTGTTAGGCATTCATGTAGTCTGATTAGGAGTGCGACTCAATGTTAAATTGATTATTGTAATTTTTTAATCTGTTTAGTCTTTTTCTAGAGAACAGTTTAGTATATGTTTTTAGTTAATGTGTAGATATCATTCTTACAAAGAATTCAACCACAAATATTTTGTAGTAGTTAGGTTGTTGATTAATATGACTCAAATGCCATTTTAGTTTGTACGTGGCTTAATTTATTATAAGTATTTATGTACATTTTTTTTTTGCATTCTATGTTAATCTGTTTTGTGGGTGATCATTTGTAACAGCCAAAATCTTGACTTGCAATTAGTGGTTTATGTGTTAAACTACAGCCAAATAATATGAGAGTGTTTGGATACAAAACTTATCCCAAATAATATTTCGCTTATATCATAAACACATTTTCCAACCCACCTTTTTATATTCCCAACCACCTTTTTATCTCACATACATCACATCACAAAAAGTGCTACAGTAATTATTCCAAATAATATTTCAAATAATACCCTATCCAAACAAACCAATTAAATGATTTCTAGATAAATTACTATTTTTAATACCTCATATATTATGCTGTTTGGTCAATATAAAACTGGCCAGGGCATTTTCGATTTCCATCGCGCGTAGCGCGTTTGTGACTCATAATATTAACATAACACTCTAAGAGCCAAAGGGTGTTACTGTTCATTTGCTTTTTCGTCGTCGTTGTCACGTGCTATAAGCATGCCTTTAGTTTTTTTTTTCGCGCGATGCGCGGGTTGTCGGCTTAGGGTTAACTACACAAAACACATATTCTCTCCTGGCTTTCCTTTCCAAAACCTCTTCGCCGCCGAGTTCACTCACTTGTGTTGGAGTCTGACTCACTCCACTGTCGTTGGAATCGACACCGAATGGAAGCCCTCCGCAGCCACCAATCCACTTTTCCCACGGTCTCTATCCTCCAAATCGCATGCCGACTATTCCCGGATTCCAACGAGTCGCCGGTCTTCCTTCTCGACCTATCCCTACTTCCCCTTCCGTCAATCTACGAATTATTGCGCAAAGCGTTTGTATCCCATGATAATCTCAAATTAGATTTTAGGTTCAAACAAGATTTGGTATATTTATCGTCCACTTTCTGTTCTCAAGGCTGCGATCCTGGTTTCGATAGGGTGAGTCCGATTTTCATTGTACTCATTCTTTTTCCCCTCCAAATTCTGTTTATACTTTTCACCTTTTTTATGTTTGAGTTTTTGGTTGGTCAAGGTAATGCGTTTATTTTTTCAATTTTTGGCTGATGAAGGTAATACATGCTTTTTAAAAGGGTGGAATTTTTCTCATGTGCGTTATTTGGACCAATATTGCTCCTGCTAAATAGCGATTTTTTTTTTTGCTGACAATGTTGTTATTTTTCTGGATTGTACGTGGCTTTTACTTGTTTTCTTGGTAGAGAACATAGTTCAGAGGATGAAATAGGTTAGATTAACGATGTTGCAGACTTGCAGTTACCCTTTTTTGTTGATATAATTTGTGATACCATTTCACTGATAATTGGTCAGAATAGGTGGAGCCTTTTCTAGATATTACAAGTGTGTACAGCTATCTACAACATAAGCAATCTTCAGGAAGAAAGGTACCAAGACAAATCAAGAGCTTGGCAACCATTTGCCAAGAAATGTTGGGTGTTTCACTTTCAAAGGTTCTTACTTTACCAACGGCTTTGCCATTAGCTCCATTCTCAAGTTTTATTATTGTGTTTGATTGCATTTTCGATAATTTACATGGTGAGATGCATATGCTTTAGGAACTTCAATGCAGTGATTGGTCGCACCGTCCTCTTAGTGAGGAGCAAAAGGCGTATGCAGCTGCTGATGCTCATTGTTTGCTTGATATATTTAATGTCTTCCAAGCAAAGGTTGAGAAAGAAGGTTGGGTGCCCTTAATGTGACTTTTCACTGCTATACATTCTTGGGTCAATCTCATCATGTAGAGGTCACCTTTGAAGTTAAATGCATAGCTACTTTCAAGTGTCTGTTGACTGTTAATATGATGTGTGGACGCATGAACCATAGTGCTTTTACACTAACACACCATTGAGGCCCTTTACAGTTTATAGCTCCACCCATCCATCCGTCCATACAAATTCCCCCAACTGATTACTAGAATCCCCCAGAGCGTGTGGCCAGCATCATTTCCAGCTCAAGGTTTAGGACTTTTCTTTCTTTTTACCAAATTTGTTCTCCTTTGCTACCCTTCATCCTCCGTTCAAATCAGATTATTTTTTTATATTGTTGTTCCTGATTTTTCTTACCCTTTTCAAATCGAGTGACTTTTTTTTATATGGTTGTTCTTCATCTGTAAAAAAAATAAAAGTCTACAAGATCTCCCTTTGCCCCCTCTGTTTATTTTCCTATACGTGTATCTTTTTTTTTTCCTTTTTAAAGTGCATAGAAGTCCTGAATTGGGACGTGTAAAAGTATTGATGCATTTCTAAAGAGCCTTTGAAAGATTTATTTCTATGCAGCAAACTGAACAATAGGAGGCAAACAGAAAATTTCCAATGTAAAGTGCTTAATTTCTATGATTTATTTATTTTTTCCTGTACTTCATTTTTTTATTTTCTTTTTGGCCAATGACATTTTTGGGTTTGGTGGAAGCCTTTGAATATGATGGCGAGGCTTCTCCGAAATGCTTCTTCTCTCGGATGCGCTCTGTTTCTGCAACCTCCCTCTCAGGTAATTTCCCTACCAAACCAGAAATACAAGGAAGGCCACTTAAAATAGGGAAGATTTTGTTCTTACTTTCTTTGTATTTTTGGAGAACACTTTGGTTAGGATTAATGATAGGTAATAGCCCGTTGTAGAAATTTGAAGCATTTTTTAGGAAAAAAATTCAGCTTTTTCTCATATATGTTTTTCACAGCTTTGTTGAGTTTCAACGTTTTTACGGTACTTGTGTCTTGTTTGTACTATTTTTTTGAAATTATAGGTGTAATATAGTGTTTATAATTGTTATTAGCAGTTGGAAGCTGCGAATAAATTATTATACTATAATTTCCTATCAACTAGGAAAGTCAAATGTTGTACTTTGTTAGCTTGCAGAAGTTGTTCCTCTTTTTAAAAATTGTTGAACTTGCAAACCGTTTAAAGAAAAAGTCTTTTGTTTGACATGTTTTCTGACATCGTTTGTCAATTAGTATTGCTTTTCTTTTTTTTTTCTCACTTTCTTCATGAGTCATGACATGAATTTGTTGTTTGTTGATGTAGACCTATAGGAAAGGCTTGTTAGGGGCATCCACTATGCTCTCCTACTTTTCCTCCAAAAAGCGCCCGAAGTTTATTTTCCTACTGAACTGGACTGCATTTGGTCTTCATACCTTTTTATATAGGTGATCATTTTGATGGGTTCAAAAATAGATAAAGTAAAATAACTTTTGCATATGAAGCCTATCTTTTTAGGCTTTAGCCCCTTGCCAGGACCAGTTAAAACTAATACATATATTTGCTTAGTGTTTGAATACTTCAAACATCGTGTTTATTTAATGTGACGGTTGCATGTTTTCTCCCATATTTTGGGGTTTTCTGTTCACTAAAAATTATAAAGCACTCAAGTATGCAAGTTTATTGCCATATTTTGGTAAAAATACCTCCCTCCTGGAGTATTTTAACATTAAGTGCATCATCCTTAACGTAACAATCACTTGACCCTTTTCCCCCATGTGATTCTTTGAATAAGATGAGTTCTTTTCAGTGTAGTTCTTTTGCTGAAATTTGTTGAGCTTGATATTTTTCACATTTGACTGGGATTGTGTTATTTCTGCTTGAGAGTACCTACTTTATCTCTTTCTGCAGTAGAACATATCAATTTTTTTGTGCTTCATTAGTTCATTATGAACATAAGTCATTTTTTGTATGGAAGGTAGAAGAAAATCCAAGTCAGATGTCAAAGAAAATTTGGCACTCAAGTAGGCAATGTATCATACCACTGCATCATTTGGAAAAGGTTCTATCATGTAGCTTGGCTGCTCCATCCCTGTCAAACAAGTTCCAGTTGTGTCCACAGGTTCATTTGCTTTGGATATTGCATTTAGGATTGGAGGACTTCCAAAGGTTGGACATCTTATGTGTTTCTTATGCTGCAATGCCAGATGTTGATTTTGAATTATTGTTTCAAGTGCACTAAACATCTGCAAATGTCTAAAGAATCATATTGACATCGTTTTAGAGTGCAAATATACCACTGAAATGACTTTTCTCTATCTAATTGGGGCTTTAACTAAGAGCTGCTGTAATTATTCTTGATTTGAATATTTCCATTCTAATTAATTAGCATTTGCAATTTCTAGACTATATAGCAAAAGAAAAGCTTTGTCTTGTTCTTGAAAACCTTCACTGAAATGGAAGCTTTTAAATTACTTTGTATCACTATTGGTTTCTGTTAACCTTATTACTTTGTCTCACTATTGGATCTGTTTGATGTAATTGGAGTAGTGCATTTTGCCATCAGGCAATATTAGTAGTTCCATGTCCATGGGAGATGTTACCATCCCCAAGCAATTCACTTAGACTGGCTTATGGAATTGGCTCATAACTTCCATTTCTTGCTTTTAACATGAATACATGAAACTTTGTTATACATCTATTTTCGACTGATTTACATGAATCTTTTTTCTGAGCAGAAACTTAATGCCGCAATCCCGACAGGTGATTTTACTAAATTCGATTTTGAAGCCTACAGTGGGCCTTCCAGAGGATATAATCAGTTGGGGAGCATTGGATACAGCATTGAGCAGTTCTTTTTGCAGTTAAGAAAGCAGCGGTTTCACATAAGCAAGAATTGGTTTGGATTAACATACACTCATCTTGAGGTATAGGACTCGATACAGTTCCTTCTCTTTTGTGTTTTTCCTTTTCTTTCCCAATTGAAGATTAGAATTATAGGACTTCTTTATGATCAGTTGCATTTGTTCTGTGTTTCCAAAGTCTGAAAAATCTTAGCAATTATTAAGTGTCAAATATTAAGTTTCGCTTATTATGGCATGGAAAATTTCCCTATAAAGGCTTCTATACAAACCTTGGTTTTGCCTTTACAGGTACAGAAATATTCCTTCATGATTTTATAGTTTCTTAATACTTATCATATGCTAAATGAAGAATTGAGCTATCAAACCTTAAATTTTTCAGACACAAAAGATTTTAAATTTTAGATCTATAAAACACATTCTTAGATGAGAATATCTCAAGCTTCTTCGAGGATAAAAGCAACTATGCAATCTAGCTTACATTTCAATGCCTCTGACTTTTGGAATCGGGTATTGTTTTAACATAATAGAAAGATGTCCTCCCTATGATGAATAAGTTTCCACTTTGTTTTTGCATTGTAGGATCATTCCAAAGACTGTGTGTTCTGCCCCTTCCTTGCTCCTTCAAAAAAAAATAATAATATAGTTGCTATTTCGATGTTTCACTTTACGACAACGGAATGAGTTTAATATGTTGGGATATTTTGGAGTTAAAACTTGTCAAATTTATCTTTCAGATTAGGATCATTTGGTAGTTAGCATATTTCCAATTTCTTCCTTTGGATGATATACATGGATGGCCATACTGCAATAGATTGCATTCTGAATTCTTTTTAACTTCAATTCTTTGGAAATAGCAGAGTAGCCAATTTATCTGCTTTGGTGGAATTATGAGTTACCATGCAAGTTGCTCTAACTCTACAACTTATAAGATGCTTTAGATCTCTTTACTTTGATACTTAATAATAGACAAAATATATATCATGCTTCTCTTGAGAGGGGAAAATGTGGGTTTAGATTTTGTATAAATATTACAAATTTTAAAGTTGTCGAGTTTATCTTGTTTGTTTTGGGATCAATCAATGTCTCCTGACCCATTTCCAGTTTCTACGTATTGGTGCCGAGGTCCATTGCTAATTGCAATGGAATATATACTAAGATTTTATCGTTATAATTTCATGATTAGGTTGTTGCGGGAAAACTTAGCAAATCTTGCCATGGGCGGTAGCAGAAACAAAATTGCTTTTGGATAGGGGAAAGATGCATTGTGCATTTCAAGCTCCATGCTGCATGCTTTCTTATTTATCAATGTAATTAGTTTAGGACAATTCGTTATTGAATTTATTAGACTCTCTTTGTTAGAGGTTTCTTTTTGGTTTATCTGTAACTAAATTCCATCGGACGCAAACAATTCCATTAAATGGATCCATTTTGAATATGTACAAATCATTTTATTAAATTGGGCATCTCCTTTTTTTTCCCACTATGCTAATACGTCGTTTATGCATTAAACTTAAGGAACTAGAGTAAGTAAGGTCATGGGATCGAAAAGAAATCATGTATCCATGGCATCATACATTTAACATCTAATATATTAGTATTTTTGTAAATTTTAAATCCTCTTATTATATGTGTAACGACATTTCTTTTTCTAAAACAAGAAATACTTCGGTTATTGGATTATCTTGTTACATTTATCCCACAATTTTCTGTTGTTAATCGATACATATAACTCCAATATTAATTTCTATCTGAAATTACTTATTAGCAATTCCAACTACTATTTACATAATTGTAATGCTTCTATGAGCATTCATGTTTTGTACTCCACCGCGCGAAGCGCGGTTTATCCCTCCTAGTCTTTTTCTATTGGTTACGTACAGGTGCAAGTGAGTGCTTTCTCCTTTTTTTTTTTTTTTTTTAGGTGTGTCCCGCAGGGAGTGCTTTCTCCTTTTGGTTACACACGAGTGCCTTGCAAACGTGTCCAAAAGGACTAGAGTTCCAACTTATCTGACAAAGGGAAAAGCCTTGAGAGCCTTCCCTTAATCACTGGCGGTTGCACTTCAACTTGATTATTATTATTAGGGATAATTTCAGAAACCTCCCCTGAAATTTCTGACACTTTCACTGGCACCCCTTGAGGTTCT